AGATATTATCAAAATTCTAGGATAAGTAGGGGGACGTACTTTGATGACCTTTGAGTAAGTAACCTAACCTCAAATGTCTTTGGTTATACTATCAATAAAAACATGTTTCTTTGGGAAAGGAGGGGATGTTTTTTACTCATTCTATCGTGCTGAATAATTTTGCATTAGAGTATGTTTTTGAAAATTCAACTATTGTCGGGATATAAACCAAAATAAGTCAGACTAAAAGTTCGGAACAAATTTTTTATTATTGCAATAAACGTTCAAAATATTCACTATGTTGATCTAGACATGCTTGTCATTTCCATCATTTAAGTTAGTAGAAAATTAAACATGTGATATCATTATTTGAATTATTTGAATTAAAAGATTTATGTGACATCATTATTTCTTAAATGTAATATAAATAGATGTACTTAGGTTACTATTATTTTGATAGTTCGAAATAACTAGTTAAAACTAATTAAACTAATTAAAACTAATTAAAAGTAATTAGTTAAAACGTTAAAAGTTAAAATTTTAAAAAAATTAATAACTTTTGAAATTAAAAATAGTTAATAACTTTTAATTTCAAAAGTTATTAACTTTTTTAAAATTTTAACTTTTAACGTTTTAACTTAATTTATTTAATTTTTAAATTAAACTAAATTAATTTAATTTACAATAGTTAATTTTAAATGCATTAATTTTTAACTTAATTTTTTTAAAGTTACTTTTAAACTTTAATTTATTATTTTGTTTAAATTCAAAATTTTTCTATCTCTCTTAATGCTAATATTTTTTTTCTATAAAATTTTAAACATTAGAGGAATTTAATTTAGAAAAAGTTCAATAATTATATGAAATTTTATAATAAGTCACACCATACGGTAGCTAGTTTTTATTGGCTCGTTGGATTTTGCCAATTTTCGCTTATATTTGAATTACACTAATTTTAGATGTCACAAACATTTTATCTCAGCAACGTGAATATGAAATAAGCCTTATAAGTAAATCGAATTTTCTCAAAATTCTTACGATTGTTTTTTATAACAAAAATGGGAAGAAATCTGTCTTTAATTAATTTTAATCCAAATTGCGTCTATTAAAAAAACTTTTTATTTTTTACAAATACTCGATTTTTATATGTTTGAAGCAATATTTTTTATAAATAAATATACACCCCATATTTTAAAGTTCGATACACATATTATATACAGAATACCAAAATAATAATTAATAATAGTTAAGAAACGATCCTCTTGAAAAGAACTTCTAGCTGTTCTAGATGTTTCTTTAGCTTCTAGCTGAATGTTTTTGTAAAAAGTACTTTTCAAGAGGATCGTTTCTTAACTATTATTTTCTTAACTATTATTAATTATTATTATTTTCAAGAGGATCGTTTTTTAACTACAGTGGAACTTCCCTAACTTCAATATTTTGTAATCAATATTTTCTTCATTCTCCTTCTACTTGTACATCGTGTATAAAAATTTTGTGTTAAAATAGATTATGTTGCATTGGCATCTGCGCAGACATTCTTATTCTATATTATGCCTGTCCAATTTGAGCTCCAGAACCAAAAAACAAAGTCATTGACATAAAAAAATCAATACAAGTAAAATTTCGGAGACTGTAAAGTGTTGATATACATCTGAATGACGCTTATCAATACGTTAGAATTTACAAAATCTTCATTCACATTAAATTTTTTTGCATCGATGGTTTTGCGTTTTGGCTTCAGCGCTCAAATTGGACAAACCTGCTCTATATGTAATACATATTATTTTTTTTAATACTCCGTTCTTAATGTAAGTAGTAGGGAGAATCTCCTTATATTCTCACAGCCCTGCGTAATAGAAGTTATGAAGGAAGTTCCACTGTATTAATTATTATTTTGGTGTTTTATATGTATATCGAGTTTTAAAATATCGAGTGTTCATTTATTTGTAAGAAATATTATTTTATATATATAAAAATTGGATATTTGTGAAAAATAATTTTTTTTAATTAAGACAGATACAATTTGGGCTAAAATTAATGACAGATTTCATCTTATTTTGTATAAGATTAAGAAACAACCGTAAAAATTTTGAGAAAAATTGGCGAGTGACATTTCTGAAAGTTTACTTGTTAGATTAAGAATTGTTGTAAAATAGTGTTGCATATCTATTTTCTAAATTTTTATGTTTTTTATGTTTTTTATAACAAATATCTAGTCGATGCAGTAAACATGCAAGAGTATGTCGTTTTGCAATCGTTTTAAAAGTTAAACAAAGTAAATAAAGGTTAAAGAAAGAGAGATAATATATACTCTTCTCTCTTGACGAAAACGCTTTATGGTATGATTCTTATTATACTCATAAGTAACTTAAATGTGAATAAAACAATTAAATTCAATAATAATTTATATTGTAAGTGTTATTTAAAGTAATCTTTTTTTTTAAATTAGGACATTTTGATC